AAATAGTAAAAATGTCATAAAAGATACTTTGCATAAGTCTAGTAAAATAAGTTTTAAATCTACATGAAATACATAATTTCTCAAGAAATGAAATTTAGCAAAACTGATACTGTTGAGCTGGATAATTTGAATAGTCCAATCTCTGGAGAAAAATAAAATTGTCAAAAAGCTACTCCACAAATACATACCAGGTTTAAATAAATATGCAGGGGAATCATACTTAACTTGTAAAGTCCAGATAATCCCCAAACTACTTAAATGGTTCTGTAGCATAGAAAATACAGAAGAAACTTTAAATTGTTTTCTAAAGAAATAACATTGATACCAATATCTCATGAAACTCATATACACATTCAAAAATTACAGATCAGTTTCCCTAATGCATATTAGTGCAAAATCCTAAATTAATCTTAGATGAAAAAATTCCAAAATTATAAGATAAAACACATTATGTCCAAATGTGACTCCTTCCCAGGATGCAAGAATGATTTCGTGTTATTAACTTCATTAATAAAATTTATTATAAAAATAAGGAAACAGAATAGTGTGTTCATTTTCATAGATGCTGAAAAGGCAATTTACAAATTTTAACACCCATTCTTAACAAATACAAGTCAATGGAAACTTCCATAAAATTATAAAACACATTCCACTTGACCCACATGCCATCATTTGAATTAATGGGGAACACTGCTGGCATCCACACAAAAATCAGGAACAAATCATGATGTTCACCATCAGTTTCTTTTTAATAATATGTTGGTGGTAATAACCATCAGAAATAGATAAAAATTATTAGATGCATAAGAATTGAAAAGGAAAATGCAAAACAATCTCTATTTGATATGATAGAACACTTGAAAAACTCGGAAGTCAATGTATAACTCTGCAAACTAAGAAAACTCACTAAGATAGTAGAATATAAAATTAACATACTCAGAAGAAATCAGTAGCTTTAAAAACTATCAGAAGATACAATAAAAGAGAAGATCCTATTTATAATAGCAGCAACAACAACAAAGTTAAATGCCAAGTAGAAAAGTAACAACAATTAGGAAAAATTTTAAACACCCCTGAAAGACACAACAATTAGATTTAAAAAATGAAAATACATATACATATTTTTGTATAGAATGACTCAACATCATAAAAGATGTAAATTTTCTTCAAATTAATTTATAAATTAATGTGAATCCAATAAAAATACCAAAGTGATTTTTCTTAATCCAGACAAGTTTCTAAAGTTCATATGGATATTCAGCAAGAAGCAACCCAGAACTCTAAAAATTAGTATTAAAAGGAGGATGTCATAAATAAGAGGTTAATTGTATATTTAAAACAGTGTGATTCTGAATGACACAGAGATTAACAGAACAGAATAGAAAGTCCAGAATATATTCCAGCACATAAGGAAGTTAAGTATGTGATAAAGGTAGCATCTCAAATTACTAGTGAAAGATAGACTTTTTAATAAATAATGTTAGAACAGCTGAAAATCCATTGGTAAAATGATAAATTTATGTCTTGCACTATAAATCAAGTTAAGCTTAAAATGGATCAGAGATCCTAAAAAATAAGTTCTAAAAAATGTGAATTTATTTATGTTCATAACCTTGGAATGGTGAAAGCTTTTCTAGTTATGATGCAAAAATTCAGAATCAACAAAGGAAAAGTTTGTTAAATTCAGCTACATTATAAAAAAATTTTTAAAGGCTTTGTGTGACAAAAATCAGGAAAAAGATAAAGGACAATTTGCTGGGGAAGTGATTTGCCACTTATTCCACAATCTAAAAGAAAAAGACCAAAAAAAAAAAAAGGAAACGTATACAAGAAATGGACAACTGATAGAAAAAGAAATGTCCATAGTGCTTAAATATATGAATTTATATATATTCACTCACTCATATGAGCACTCATTCGTAATAAGAGAAACGTAAACCAAAACTACTTGGAGTGCTACTTCTCACCTACCATTGACAAAATTCGAGATGACTGACTCACTCTGTTAGCATAGTCTAATACATTAAACCTGATTAGATTAGGTGGTAGTGTAAAGTGGTTCAAATCAAAGGAGGGGAGTTTGGCAGTATCTAAAAATATTATATATTCATTTACCCTTTGATCCAGGAATACCACTTATAGAAGCTTACCCTGAAGATACTTTCATCCAAGAATGTATATATACAAGTATGAAAATACTTATGTGCAATTCACTCTGGTATTATTTGTAGTAGCCAAAATTTATGAACAACCTAAATGGCCATGAGTAGGGGACTGATTGAATTAGTTATGGTTTCAAACAACTTTGAAGGCAGCTGATCACTTCTATAAGGCACTGATGGGTAGTAATGTCAGCTATGGCTTTTTTTATATATATTCAATTACTTTGCTTAACATGCAAACATATTTTGAGAACTGAATCTAAATGAAGCATGTATTAAAATGACTACAGGAGCAGAATATCAAGAGCATTTTGTACATGTTGCCTTTTACTTACGGTTTACAGTTTTGACTGGTAATATTGGGTTTACCCTCTCTGGGGAAGCAGCATTTTCTTCATCCGTCACATATTCAAAATTAATGATGAACATCATAGCCACGCCTTCTTGGTTTTTCACTGGAATTATGTGGGTGTTACAAATAAAAGTGGACCCTAAGGAGATGAAAACTGAGTGTTAGGTCAAAAATATGAATTCATTTCAAAGTGTCAGTAATATTAAAATTCTAATAAAGCCTTATAGAATTTTGTATCTTAAATGATTATTGAAATTCAAATAAAATTTTATTTTTATTTCATATTTTATTGTACATTATATTTACATAAAAGTTCACAAACCAAAGTGGCTGCATCCAACACCCCAGTTAGGGAGGGGGGCCCATTGTAGAAAGAAATGCTGTGCACAGCCCTGCGATTCAAGATGGCCATGACAGGTCATGTGCAGAGATGCTGCACCCAGCACTGAGATCTGGAACCATGAGCAGCTGTAGCCAGGTCCCACTGGCCAGAACTCTGCCCCCTTCCCCACTGAGGAGAACCCTATAAAGCGGCCCTGCCCACAGCCTTTGCGGGAAGAGTGTGGACTCTAGACACAGCTCACATCTTTCCATTTTTGATCAAATAAGCTTTCCTTTGCTTCTGAACCGAATTCAGTCTCGTTCTATTGGCTTGAATGACATGGGGCATGAGGGTCCTTGCTGGACACCAACTAGAGAGGGTCGGTAACAAGAGGACCCCAAGAAGCTGGGGACAGGGCCACTGGGAACCTCAACATCCACAAAGGACTGTGGACGCTAGCATTCCAAAATGGCGTTCTATGTATGCTCTGACTATTAAAAACAAAGCGTGAGAAAACTCTTTAGTTTCTTTTCTTCCCTGCAACTTGGCTCCTGCTGTCAAAGCTGAAAACCAAGACTATTGTTAATACTGCTATACGCTGAGACATCACAGGTTGAAGGGCTTTAGAGAGTGGCCTTGGAGATCTAATTATTATTTATGAAATTGTTTCTATGGGTTACTGTGTTCCAATTTCCAAGGAATGGGTTTACAAATACGCTTTTAGAACATAAACTCTTCGTAAGTTGGGGATGCCTATGTGCTAGTTGTGATGCAGAGTTTCAAATGTGGATAAGCCTCCCAAATTTGAAATGTAAAAATCTTATTTATAACCAATTTCATTGTTTCTATAGAGGTAGCCGAAGTTTCACAGATGTTGGAAAGTATGTTTTAAGAATGACATGCTGCACCTTCACAGTCTTCAGGTATGTGTTCAATTCATTTAATAAAATAGTTAGCTAGAGCACTTGTCATAGTTTCCATGGTAACTAATAGGATGACTTTAGTAAACAGAAAATAAACAATTTAAGACGGTTCCATTAGAACTAAAAATAGAATTGCTTCAGGCTAGGCATCACAATACAAAATGGTTAAACAGAGAATCTGAGGAGATGCTAGAAATAGCCATTATGTATTTCGCTAATGAACCAAAATACTATTGATTTCATCACTTAAAATGACATTTCCTGGATCATTTAGAATATCACTGTGAATTCACAGATTTGTTACTTAGCAGTTTCAAATCTTTCAACATGCTGATGGTACAATAAAACAAAAAGCACAGATTTTTGAGAAATCAATAAATAAAAGAAATAGAGATAGAGATCTAATAGGTTTGTAATAGAGAGCAAAGTAATTTCACTTTCAGTTAGAAGGGGAAAAATCCGATCTTTCAATATTTATGTTGTACATTTACTGTCCAGTGCAAAAAAATTATAAAATTATAGTGCTTTAGAAAAAAAAGTTCAGCTATATGCATTGGCTGCATAGCACATAAGTAAGTGTAATTAACCTGAGATTTACTGCCCACTCTCATTGTTTCCTGCATGTTTCTATTAAGCAATATATCTCCTCTAAAGTCAACTGAAGACTCACATTTACATTTTTTTCTCTTTTAGTTTTTGGATTTAATATCTCCATAAATCTTTCATAGACTCCTGGAAAGCAGATATTGAAATGGAATTTAGAAGAGGAGAAGAATCAAATATATTTTATAGTGGAAAAACATTTTAGCTTGCACGATACTACAAACTCCAAGTTCTGCTAAGATACTACTTTTGTAAAGTAACATTGCCCTAAGAAGTCATTGCTGTGTGCTCCTAAATATTTTTCTTGAATGCAACAGTGAAAGCAAGAGAAATGGAAGCATAACCTAGCGAACAGTAATCTAACAATGAAGACAAACACAGACACATTTCATGATGGGTAAATAAGAGAACTAAAAAAATAGAAATAAAAAGTTCAGGCCTTGTTAAAATGTATCTTGTATTCAAATGAAATTAATAATGTTTTTCTAAGCAGCAGCTTATTTGCAATAACATTACCCAATAATTATAAATTATACATGCAATTATACTAATATTAGTTAGACTCAGGTTCATTTCCATGTTTTGTCTCTTGAGTGAAAACATTTTCAAAGTGGGAAAGGCTGTTTAGAAGGAACAGTGCTCATTTTAATGAAATGTCTAGAATGTTAATGTTTAACTGTAGCCACAGAGCAAGCAAACAGGGTAATCGGAATCATTACTCCTTTATTAATAAACTCTGAGCTTTATTTTAAAATAAAATACCAAGACTCCCCCCTTTAGATCTGCTTTAAAGATGTTTTATCTACTGTTTGTAATCATGGGGTATCCTTCCCCTGAAGCCAAAAAATGTATATTGAGCACCTAATAGTGGGCCAAGCACTGCTCTGAGTTCTCAGATGGTAATGAGAAGGACAGCAGTGAAAAAACAAATCAAGGTCCTGAGCTTAGGAAACTTACATCCCACTGGGGGAGACATAATTAATAGACACATAAGTCTCTAATATATCAAGTAAAAATAAGTACAATGAAGAAAAATGCAGAGTAAGGTGATAAATAATAACACTGGTAAGGGAACGCTTCTCCTATAGAATGACATGTAAGCAAAGACATTCAAGAGCGGTGAAGTGAGCTCCTTGGCTCTTTGGATGAAAGGTAACCTGGCAGAGAAAACTGCCTGTGAAACACCTTTAGGACAAAGCATGGTTGTAAGCTCAAGGAACAGCATGGAAGCCAGCGTGACTAATGCAGTGTGCTGGTGGTTGCCTAGGACAGGGCTGGACAGTAGATAAGGTCAAAGGAGGTGTAGGAGCTACCTTGTAGAGTGTGGGCAAAGGATAAAGGGTAGGAGGCTGAAACTGGCTTCCCATTGCATTCTGACCTGATGCAGGTTGGGAATTGTAATCTCAGAACTGGGACTGAACTTTCTGTTTTCACAACAGAAAGTAACCGGAAGGCTTTATTATCTGGGAGTGACCTAATAAGGGAAGCCTCTGCTAAATCACCATCCAAAGTCAGTGGTTGATCACTCTGGTGAATACAGTTTAATGAGATGATGAAAAATAAAAGTAAGCTGCATTTTGTTCACAGTCCGAGCCTCCCACTGTTCAGCAGAACTCAGACGTGTGTAAAGCTCTTAGAACAGTACCTGGCATGGAGCAAAACTCAATAATATGAGTTTATTATTTTTGCTTCTTGTTAGAGGGTCTCCAGAGGGGCAAGTTAACCCTCAAGTCTCTCTATGTAATTTCCTCCAACTCTTTACCATTCTTGGAAATGCAAGCTATGCTCTTTGTGTTTAGAGACACCAAGTGAAGATTATTCTTCTCTGAGCTGACTGGTTTAGTGAATGTCTCAGAGTTCTTAATTCCTTTCTTTCCAGTAGACTGGGGAAGGCTCTTTGAAGATTAAAAATACCACTAGAGACCTGCCTCACAGGAGATACAAAACATAGCAAGGTAGGAATACAAAGGCCTTATCAAAGAGGCAGCATTGTTTGTCTTGAATTGAAGAGCCTATTAGAAAAGCAAAGGGGACTGTCAAACTCTTGGAGAAAGATACCCAGTCACTAATGACTTAAGATATAGCCAAGTGGAGGCACAAGTGAGAAACAAGCAAAATTTCTCTTTGGCTTTTCTATACGTAATATCTTCTTTTAGTTCTTATTTTCAGAACCTCTTTCATCTTCCTCTGCTCTCTCCAAGCCTCTGATATGAAATTATTATGAACTTCCTCCTATCAGTGAGGACCATCATGAGAAATATGAATTTCTCATGGAACTATTGATGACATAATGGATGATCACTTTCAAGAAAAAATTTTTAAGGGGAGTAGTGAAAAACAACAATTATGCCAAGATGAGCTCTAATGCTGCCTTTGTCTAGAAAAAATATTTTGGTTGTGTGGATAAGACCTCTCAGAAATCCTTTAGTTCACACCATGTAAGTCACTGCTTTGATATCAGTATCACTGTTGGACAAGTTATGACCTAAAGAACAGGAGAGGATCATTACAGAGTCTTGGAACAAGACTAGAAGACATTTCTATGATTAGTAAGTTTATCTGACATTGTTTAGACATTTGGTTATTTTTTAACAGATGTTACTTTACTCCTGTTAAGAACAGTAAACACAGCAGAGACCTCATCTTCACTCATAATTTACTCTCAAACTTCATCCCAAGGTTTGCAGAATAACAGAGCAGTGAAAATACTGCATTTTACAACACATTTATTACTAGACTATAAGCCCTCCAAAGACAAGTATTATCAATCTATGCACGTAGGCTTCAACACATAGTGGGAAATCAATAACTTTGCTGAATTAATAATGAATCCTTTTACTTCTCCCTTAAAGTGAGAAAGCTTCATGGAAAGCTGTTCACAGGATGTGACCCTTGAGCCCAGAGCAGTATTTGTGACTGTGGTGGATCTTAAGAAGATGGACTTTCAAGTTAGAGAGACACTTGGATTCTAAGCTTGACAAGTTACTTAGCTTCTCTGTGTTCTGACTTTTTTCCTGTAAAATTGGGACAATATTATTTATCCTTTAAAGTTTGCAGTAAATGAGAGGGTGCATTTACAGTACAGTTCTAGCACAAAGTAAACACTCAATATAGGGTAGCTCACGGAAATGGAACATTTTGATATAACATGGCAGGTATAGAAACCAGATATGCCTGAAGTGTTACTGTCATAAAAACCCAGGAAATGCTGGGCTTCAGTTTATAAGGCTGAGCAGAAACAAACTTGAAGAAGAAGGATATCCCATGGAGAAGAAGCCCATGCACAATTAA